AGCTACTTTATGCAGGCTGTGTGCATTTTACTGTGGACTGACTGTTTTGAAACTTAAATGGTAGTTAAATAGCCCCTAGACCTCAGTTATCGTGAAAAAGCCAGGAAATTTCAGTTTTGACAATATGGGACCTTTAAATGAACATCAACTGCTCTATGCTTTACAGTTTATCTTCCCTTTCTCTCTGCTTCTCTTCTCTCATGTTCTCCCCATCTCTTCAGCTCTTTTCTTAGTTGAATCCTCTACTAATCTGTCTTCATTTCTCTTCCTTCCACGGCCGATTCTATGAGTGAAGTTTCCACTCTCACTCATCATTACGATAAGCACATTCAGGTGCAGTGCACTGTGAAAAATGTGCAGCCTCTGCCTTGACACATTTACATTCACTGACTCTTAATGTGACATAATAAGAGTACATTAAAGCCCCTGTCTACGCATCAAAGAGAAATGACACTACTGCTCCAAATGGGAAACAGCAGCTCCCAGACTAAGTTAAATGAATTGAATAAGCTCTATGACTAGCCATAATGTAGCACTTCCCAGACTGAAAGGAGCTGTGTAACTTTACCTCCAGCATTCCTTGATCTCCCGAATCTGAGAACTATCACTTAATGATTTCCCGTCATGCTATTAGGCTTGTAATTTGCTGCTCGGCTTCGTTAAAGGTGACATGGGGCAGGCTTTTAACACACGCCGCAAACAAAGCCGGGTAATGCGCTTTCATTAGGGGAAATTAACATGGCACCGGGCTCCTTCATCATCTTAACGTTGTTGCAGATGAACATTAACATGTTTGTCATCGGCCATTATGTTTCAGTGCCGCTTGGGATCACCTGCTCCAGAGAATGTGCAAGACTGCCAGTCTGAAATCCAGCTGTGGTGTAATCGAGACTAAATTGTTTTTTCTTGTTTAGACCTCAAAAGCCTTTTAGCAACATGTCTTACTACTTACTACTTTCTTGAGGCAAATGCAATCTATCAGGCGAACAAGAAGAGGAAAATTTGTCTTTTGAATTGGCTATAACAAATACCTGAATGCATCAGCATGTGCTCTTTTGCATTTTGTTGAGGCTGCTGAAAAAAAAATTATTCACTTTGTCAACATGCAAAGAAGCTTTTGCCCCGTTTACTTACTTGTCTGGTCTGCCAGGGACTTGCAATCGTAAACGGCACTTGTTGGCGCTCTGAATTTGGTCCTCCTTGATGCGGATCAGCCTTTGCAGTGCCAAACACCAGTCTTGTGCAACAGTGGTGTTCAGATTCTATAAACACAGAAAACAAAGACAATTGTGATCCCAGCCAACACGGATGTGCTTTAAGACCTTGATTTCACACTGGACATTAAATGGTGACCCAACACTGTACCAATATTGTATACGCTGCGCATTTATATTCTGATTAGATTGTGGGTAGGAATTAGTCATTTGGAGAAAGGCCAATGGTATGGTTATGGTCAGGAAACCATGCAAGACAAAGCTCTGTTACTAACACTCAGATGTAAAAGAAGCAATCTAGCTGTTTATGTACTGGTTTAGTGACTGTCAAGCCATCAGGGGAGCTGTCCTGATTTGAAAGCAGCCTTGTGCTATGTAGACCTGCTGTTCAGAGCTATCTCCCATCTGAACATTAACTCCGGATCAGATTATGAAGGTTTCCCCATGCTGTCGTCCAACTATCAAGCGGATGCCATGATAATCAATTGATGATGTTGCCGAACTTTGATCTCAATTTAATTACGTTGAAAACTCTGTTACCCCAAAATCTTCCATCCCTAGATGGCTGTATCATGTGTGACTAATACTGCTTTTGTTTTGCTTTTTATTGTATTCTACCATGATCTTTTCATCATTCTTGGACACTTGGGCATTTTCATAATGAAAATTCTGTTTATTTATTCAAAAACACATCTGATCTTATTTTTTAAATTCATATATGTACGTGAATATACACATTAACTTACAATACCATTCAAATGCTTTGGGTCAGTAAGATGGGTCAGTTAGGTTCAGTTTTTTCATTTTATGTTTTGTTTTTTTGAAAGAAACTGGAACTTTTATTCAGCAAGGACATATTAAATTGATGACAGTAAAGACATTTATAATGCTACAAATATTTCTGTTTCAAATAAATGCTGTTCCCTTGAATTTTCTATTCATCAAAGAGTCCTGAAAAAATGTATCATGTTAAGGGGCGTAACATTTCCGTCACACGCTTGAGGTATTCGGCCAATCACAACGCACTGGATAGCTGGCCAATCAGCGTACACCTCGCTTTTCAGACAGATGAGCTTTGTAAAAATCGACACGTTTCAGAAAGGCGGGGCATAGAGGAGCAACAATAATGTACATTATGTGGAAAATAATGTGTTTTTTTAACCTTAAATCGCATAAACACATTGCATCACACCAAATACACAACATAATGTTCTTTTTAGCAACGTCATATGACCCTTTTAAAACTTTGGTTCTTACATTGCTAAGGACTTAATTTGGACAAAAAGGTGATTTTCTCAATATTTTGATTTTTTTGCACCCTCAGATTCCGGATTTTTTAATTAGTTGTATCTCGACCAAATATCGTCCTATCCTAACAAACTAAAAAATCAATGGAAAGCTTATATATTCAGCTTTCAGATGATATGTAAATCTAAATTTTAAAAAATTGACCCTTATAACTGGTTTTGTGGTCCGGGGTCACATATATTTAAAACATATGAAATGTATAATTTATTTATTTATCACAAACTTCAGTTTATGAGCCATTTTTACAATTACTTTTAACTAACTCCGCCCAATGGTGATTTTTAATGTATAACATCAGTTCCCTTCAAGTTCCCACTTAAGGGTTCAAAGACATCATGGCCCACCGTACATGTAGTAATGAAGAGTATTTACCTGGTACGTTCCCTGTAAAGTCCCGACAAGCAGAGTGACCTGTTCTACCAATGAGAGGTCATGCTGCAACTCCTGCAGTTCCTGATACAGACGGGGCGGACCCAGAAAGATACTTCCTGTCAATCAAAAATAACCAGCTTCACTTATCCAGTACTTAAATTTCACACCATGCTTTATCAGAGCATGAACCCCGGAGTGCAAAAAGCACCTGCAATCCAGGGTACTTGAAAGCTGAGATGGTATTTCTGTGGATATGGGTAAGCCGTAAAGGTGCTGAATCATTCGAATATGTAATCGAGTCAGGACGGCCCGGTAAATAAAAGTCCCGTAAACTGATGTTTGAATAAGTACAGCGGGGTTTTTTTTACTCAAGAAGCACTGTCTGTAAAGACTATGTTAATGTTTCTGTGTGTTTGAAGAGTGGAGAAGAGTCTTAACATTTGCCGTCTACTTGTAGCCAATATACTTTTGTACGTTTCAAATATACTGTGCATAGCAGTTCTTTTATCTCATGAAATTTGGGCCAAATGTATTAAACAACAAGAAAAACTGTGCGCCTGTATAGCTACACTTTATAACCTGTAAGTGTAAATTGATGAAAACGTAATTTATTGTCTCAGATGCGGCCATTCTAATGACAGACAAAACACCTGTCATTCGCTCGTCAAAAACCTCGTTAACTCCATGTGAGCATGATTTTCAGAAAATGTTAAGTCCAAGTGTCTGGTCATATATAAAGCCAAAATACCAACTTTGACGACGCATTGTTTAATTATTGGGGAAACATTTTTTACTTATCAAAACTGTGCCGCGGCAGAAAAAAGGTTGGGGAACACTGCTCTAAGTTCTGCTTGAATATTTGCCCAAATGCAAATCGAAACAAAATCAAACGCCTTAACTTTTAAAGACTTGGGGTCTATGACAAAACTTTCATTTGTCAATACTCTCCAGTAGCGCCACTAACAAAGAGAATCGATACCGAAGACAGATCGATCTCCCATTGTTTGTGTAGCCACACCGGTTAATGCTATAGGGAAGAGAAGCAGAGTATAAAATGAAGCCATTTAGAAATATGAAGCCCTTTAAGGGTGACGAAACGAACGCAGGTGTCTCATTAGATGTGAAATGTACCATCGATTTGAATCCTTATTCACTATTTTGCGGTCTCCGGTCTCTGCCTGCAGAATCAATAGCCGGGGTGAATGTGCTCTACGCGTCCGACCAATAGCCCAGGAATGAGGAGTGTAATTAAATCCCGGAGCTGGATGCGCAGACCGCAGGACTGTCTGGCCTTTCAGCACCTCCACATAATCAGGTGACCTGTGTGCAGAATTGGGGCAGCGTGGGCATTTGTTGGCCCCCAGCTCAACCTAATTCTCGAAGTAGTGCTGGAAGGTCTGTCAGAGATCGCGCTCTGTCTCTGACACACCATTTCCCTCTCTCTCGGTTCTCTAAACCTGTCTTTGTGACTTTCACTCTCTGTCTAGGCTTCCATCCACTTCTCTCTACACCTCTACATCTTTCTCTCATTGTTTTGTCTGTCTCTCTCTAACCTTTAGAAATTTAATAGGGTCTTCAACTCACACAGCCACAGAGACATCTGTCACTGGCACAGCTTGATCAATAGCAGGCACATTTGAATAAAAAAAGGCACATTGAGCCCCTACAGCGCAAGCTGGCAGAGTCGACGTGCTCTTCTGGTTGCTGTGGCAAGGCCTTGGGCAGGCCTACAGGTTTGTGGGCTCATGGCCCACCTTGGCCTCAGGTGAATGTGCTGACTTGTAATCCAGACTAATCCAGTTGGTGTGCCGGGATCTGGTTTTTCGCACTATGGCATGGTAATCTGCCATTTCCACTAGTCTATCTCTCTCGCACACATTGTCATATGTAAACTGACACACGCGCTGGGCGGCCGCCAATGGAGCCCTATGCAGGCACAATACGGAAGTCCAAAGCCTAAAGTCAACAAAGCTGTTGCCAGAAGGGCAGCTCAAATCTGGATTTCTCATTCAAATCTGTGCTCTTTAACCGACATCAATACACCGAGTTTAACCGAGTGCTTTTACGCGTATAATTTTAGCAAGGATCTGTCTGGCACGTTTAAACTAATCGAAAAATGATGTGCATGGCCGCTGAGGAAACAATACTGTGATAACGTCCAGAGACCATAGTGTGATGCCAAATTAAAACTACAAAGTAAATATATAAATATAAATGTAGCTATTAAATGTAGATATTTTATCAATCAAAATATGCACAATTCATATAAAAAATACAGCAAGTAAAAAATTATATAAAAACAATATTTAGAATATCATGATAATTATTTTTTATAAAAACAACAACAATAATAACAAATGATTATTATTATCATAATTTATCTTAAACAACAATATAAATAAATATTACATAAAAATGTTATTTTCTTGTTCTTCTAATAATAATGATTAATTATTATTAATAATAATAATAATAATAACAGCCTAGAATAATAGTCTAAAAATATATATTATATTATATATTAACATTATATTAGATGCATTATAATATAGTTTCTTACAACAATCTAATAATAATAATAATAATAATAATAATAATAATAATAATAATACAAAGGTAACACTTTAGTATAGGGACCAATTCTCACTATTAACTAGTTCCTTATTAGCATGCCTATTATTAACATATTTTATAGTTAATTTATTGTAATTATTTATTTTATTTATTACTGTTTATTAGTGCTCATAAAGCACATATTCTGCATGACCATATTCGACATCCCTAATCCTACCCAATACCTAACAACTACTTTACTAACTATTAATAAGAGGCAAATTAGGAGTTTATTGATGCAAAATCGTAGTTAATGTTTAGTTAATAGTGAGAACTGGATAATAATAATAATAATAGTTTTAAGGCCCGTTCACACCAAGAACGATAACTATAAAGATAACTATAAAGATAACTATATTAGCGTCCACACCAGCGAACGATATTGTCCGTTTATTCTAAGTGCATACTTGTCTACTGCTTGAAATTTTCGAGCTTGTTACAGCAGGACTGATTATGATAGGCTGTCAATTTTTTATCATTCATCAGCTGGAGAAAAATCGTTTTGAAAGTAATTCCAACGATATTGTTTCTCTGTGTCTTTATCGTTATAGTTGTGGTGTGGGACTTCTCGTTCTTGGTGTGAACGGCCGTTTTTTCTTATATCACTCATTGACGTCCACATATTTACTTTGTCTAAATGGCAGAAGTCTAGAAGCAGAATTTTCCAGCAGGATAAATAAAGATAAAATTATGTCAGAGTATAACATCACTATACAGTACAGTATGTCTCCATTAGGAATACATTCTCACCCCTCCAATACAAGTGCTTGTGTATAGCTCCCCCATCAGTGGGCAGGTCCCATCTCATGGTTCACAGGGGCCTCTATGATTTGAAGCATGCCACTGTTTTGTGCTGCTTTACAGTGGCAGCAGCAGAGGGTCTGCCTTTTCCTGGAATGTTGGTCTATTCCATCAATAAATTAGGGCACTAGGGCCTGCAGCAGATGAAAAATGAGTCAATTTTGAGGTACGCTGGGGGAGCATGGGATCTGGTTTGGACAAGGAGCCCCATGGAGTGACATCACAAGGGAGGAGAGACGTGGCGCGGACCAGGCAAAACAGGCTTATATGTCTATGTGCTGCTATAAATAGCTGAAGATGACACATTCAGACACAGTGAACCAGACTATGTCAAAGGTGTCTGGAAAATAGTGATTAAAGTGGCAACTTCTTGTTACATAACCAGAAGTGTGTGCTAACAGTGCAAAGAGATTCCTGAATAGAGTAAGAGAAGAGAGCGACACAGTCTGCCATTTATCTCTACACAGTAAGAGATACCGAAACGGATCCTCACCAAGTACAGACTCCGTGACCAGTCTAGCCAAAGAAAAAGGCTTTGAAAAGAAGAAAAATTCTGTGGCACACTATGAGACTGGTGAGAACTTATCCTTCACTGTGACCATTTTAGATATATAAGAGAGATGTATGTAGAAAACAAAAACATATTCCACATTTTATTTTATGTTATACTGTTATTATAATTTGTTTTAAAATAAAATAAAATAAAATACTGTAAAGACTACTTTTCAAAAGTTTGGGATCATTACAATTTTTTCTGAAAGTCTCACCAAAGCTGCATTTATTTGATCAAAAATACAATAAAACAGTAATATTGTGAAACAGTATCAATAATTTAAAATAGCTGTTTTCTATTTTAATATATTTTAAAACAATTTATTCCTGTGATGGCAAGGCTGAATTTTCAGTAGCTGTTACTATTATCACATAATCCTTCAAAAATCATTCTAATATGCTGATTTGCTGCTCAAGAAACATTTCTTATTATTATCAATGTTGAAAACAGTTGTGCTGCCTAAACTTTTTGTGGAAAAGGATTTTTTTGTTAAATGGAAATTATTTGATGAATACAGGGTTATTTGATGAATAAAAAGCTCAAAAGAACAGCACTTTTTTGTAACATTATAAATGTCTTTACAGTTATCTTGACAGTTTAATGCATCTTTGCTGAAGAAAAGTGTTAATCTTCTTTAAAAAAAAAAATCTTACTGGCCGCTAACTTTTGAATGGCAGTGTATAGAAAAATACAGCCTTTATATTAATAAAATAAAACTAAAACATTTCTTAAATATTTATTATATATTTTATCCTGTCACTATTTTTTATTTCTTGTATTGATTATTTGGCAATATTTCATGTCAAACAATCATGCCAGTACTTTAAACTGAATTGAGGGATATGGAAATGAGAAATAGGAAGTTTTAGGGAGGCTACTGCTGAGTTATAAAACAGCAGGAAAAGAACAAAGGTAGATAAATTGGACAGAACACTGTTTTATAATGATTTCAGAGAGAAATAAGGTATAGGGGGCATAATAGGTCTTCTACAACTCCTGCCCGCGAGCTGTCTGCTAGGCCCCAGCATTAAACATCTTCTGTCATCTAATTTCCTGGCTCCCCTGTGTGCACAATCCAACATGGGTGTTCCATAGACGACAACATTAATATTTCAGCTCGGAAAGCAAAAGGCTTAAACAGCCAGAACCTGTACATCCTGATAACACTTTGTACCTGGAGCTCTGTCAGCATATTTATCTTAGTGCCCCACAATTGCTCTTTTCCTCTTCCTCGTCTTCTAACTCAAAACCCAATAATGTTTTGTAAGAGTGTTCAGCCCTGACTCCAATCTCCTGAACTTGCTTTCTCTGATTGGGAGTGGAGATGGAAATAATGCGTCAAAACTGATGACAGCACGCTGAATATGTTTGTGGTCTATCAGACAGTGAAATAAGATTGCTTAGAGTGCGCCTCTGTTGTTCTTATCTACCCTGCCTGAGATACACTCATCTGCAGAGGCCATAACAAGGTGCATTGCTCACAAGAAACGGTCAATTAATTCAAAATGTCTTGGAGACTCACATCAAGGATGTGTGTTATCTGATTGTTTAGAAAGTAGCAGTGGCAACAAAGTTGCCATTACCCGATCCCGAAGAGCCGCCTGAGCGCTTGACGCCTCTGAGCTGATAGAGAGTGTCCTTGGTCTGGGAGCCCTCTTGACCCACTTCAACTACCTGGACCTGCTGCAAGGGGGCGCTCCACTTCAGGGTGTACTTGGGACCTACTGGAACCAGACTGCTGATGTCAGGGGGGCCCCTGGTGGTGATAAGAGGATCAACATGTAAAAATGCTTGCGCATAATTATAAAAACAAGGAACATGACAGATCACAAAAGAGGAAAAGGGATTTATAATTTGAAACAATTCTGACTCAAAAGCTGCCAGTAAAATTCACAAATAATTTAAAAAAGGCAAACAATGCACTGAATTAAACTGACTGAAATAGTATTCTCTTGTAAAACACTTTCTAATACTCCTCATTTTACTTATGAAGAATCTTATGAAGATTGCTCAACAGCAATCTGTGTGTGTTGCTTCAAGAAAGGTGAATATACATCAGCTGTTCTATTTTCTTAATTTTTTTTCTTAATTTCCTATTTTTTATTATTTTGCTGTTTTTATTGCTCTTGTTGTTTAATTTCATGATTGTGTGGTTTCAAGGATATTTATCTTCACAAGAGAACTTGGAACTCTCAATTTCAAGGTTTTTAATGTTGTTGTTACGAAGCAGTAATTTTCCCATGCTTTTGGTATAATAAAACTTGTTGGATTTGTACTGGTCAGACAAAGTACAGGATGAAGTTGTGTCTAAACACAGTCCAAATGAAGTAGGGATGAAGTCTGAGCTTTAAGCATATGCAAATATTATTTAATAAACCCTGCTTAGTTTTTATATTCATCAATTCATCTCTTGCTTTCTGCCCTTCCCTTCCCCATAAAATTACAGTCGACCCACTGATGTCACATTAACTATTTTAACAATGTCCTTACTAGCTTTCTGGGCCTTGAACATGGTAGTTGCATTGCTGTCTAGGTGGGGTCAGAAAGCTCTCGGATTTCATCAAAAATATCTTAATTTGTGTGCCGAAGATGAACGAAAGTCTTACGGGTTTGGAACAACATGAGGGTGAGCATGGGCGACATTTGATTCGAGTCAGAGGGCCCTACCAAGCATCGCAGACAAGAATCGGTTCCAGAATAAATCACTGAAGCATTTTTGTCCCGTCCATCGCTTTGGTTATCACCAGATGACGAGCACTTCCTGTGTCTATTTGCCTCTTTAAGATGAACCGCTTGATGTATTCCCCAATTGTAAGTCGCTTTGGATAAAAGCGCCTGCTAAATGAATAAATGTAAATGTAAATCACTGTGTCAGTCACTGTTATTTCGAGAATGAATCCAGAATAAATATGCGGATGTCATACCCCAAAACGTTGCAGCATGTATGTGTCCGAAAAACTAAAGTTTCATACAAATTCTGAATGGATTATAGCCTAGAAAGCACACAAAGCGCGCTCTCAATATTATCACTCATCTTAGTTCACTGCGATGTCACAACGTTCCATTATAATCAATGAAGCTCTCTAAACTACACAATGAATCTCTTATTTACATCACGTCTGCGCTTATAAGATGATTCACGAGCGTGCAAAACTCCGCCGCTTTCAAAGGTGAGTGATTTTTGAAAACTCAAATGTTTCTGATTGGCCATTGCGTTGAAGAAATCAACAGATATGTCTGTGATTGCTCAACATTGCTCAATGCTGCAAAAACACATTGGATAGTTTGCCAGCTCTTTAATTGCTGGTGCTTTCGTTTGAGGGTATTTAGCGCTGTCTAGTACCCCCGTAACAACCGGGCCTGGGCTTGGCTAACCGCTCCAATTGCAGCAGGGCTGACATCGGGGATTCCATGACTAATGATATGAGGGGCAATTGCCCCCCGCTAATGTTGCCCATGAGGGTGAGTAATTAATGAGTAATCATTTTTCATTCCCTTGAGTTTTGTTAACTGATTTTGGGTATCAGACAAGACTTGCTGTTAAAGGAATAGTTCACCCAAAAATTTGCTAAAAAACAGAAAAAGCAACATTATGGACAGAGGATTTGAAGCAATAATTTGAAGTTAAAAAATCTTAATGATGGATTTATTACAAACATGCTTTTCACTTCACAAGACAATAATTAATGGACTGGAGTTATGTGGATTACTTGCAGATTATTGTGATGTTTTTATAAGCTGTTTGAAGTCATTCTTACAGCACCCATTCACTGCTCATCCATTGGTGAGCAAGTAATGCAATGCTACATTTCTCCAATTCTGTTCTGATTTTTTACAGATCAGCTGTAAGCACATTGTGAAGGGTTGGACCTCCAGCTAGTTGGAGGGTTTCTTATTATTCTTTTATTCTTGTAATGTAGGATCAACATTGCGATCATCTCTTTAAGATCTTCTAAATGGGCATGTCAAGTCACGCTTTAGTAGAACAGAGACATACCAGGCTGCAGTAGAAGGACTAGCTCAAAAGCTTTGAGATTCATCATCAGCGTGAGCTTTTTCACTTAGCTGTTTACCTTTTGCACTGTTGAGATGTGATCAATGGTGCTGTCATAGATAATCTATTTGAGTGGAACAGAGGAGCGCCTTTATGCCTGTGATCTATGGGGATAATTCGTGTCGCTGTAGCTAAACACCCTGCTATTTGTTCCCAGATAATGAAGGCCCATTTGACTCTGCCCAATTCTGTCCTGTGCCTTAGCCATTAGCAGCTAACCCCCTCACATTGACTGTGGCATATTGGGGAACGTCACTATAATGCTTCAGGAAACTCAGGAGTCTGTATTTAGATCGGCTGATGAGCTTCAATCCGTCAGCGTGGCCTTAGAGGCGGGACGGAGGGACAAAGAGAAAGTCAATCGACCTTGTCTGGGACACGTACTTGATGTTGATGTTGGCACAGATGAGCATGTCACCGAATAGAAAGACTTTTCGCTCCTTAGACTTGAGGACCTGTCCTCTTTCGCCGTACACCGTCTCAATCAGCGTCTCGCAAAGGATCAAAGAGCTCTGCTCAGAGTTCAGCAGCTGAAGAAAAGACAGGGGAGACACTGATTACACATAAGTCTTACAAAATAGAGGCGACCAATTACATGACTACACACTTACTTAGGTTCACAGGGAGGCAGTGCAGAAGATTGGAAACACAGCAGTACATTTGTAGCAGAAAAGGTTGTGGAAATACAACCCAATCTTAAAGATACTCATCACAAATAGGACTGAGAAGTACAGACTCTCATCTACAAACTATATAAATTTGGAGGTGCACTACAAAAAGGGAGGATTTCTAAAAGTTGTAATTATATTATTAGTTTAATTTAGAACCATAAAGTAAATAACTGTTTTTTATGTAAATGGTCCTTTTCATTAGGGTTTCATATACCATAAACCTGTACTTTCAATGCTCCATCTGCTCCAACAATTTGATATCAATTTGAGAAACATTTTGAGTTTACTGCACTAAAAATTACAGAGGAAACATTTAAATTATTATAATATTTTAGCAAAGGTTTGGAGAATAATCATAATTATATTGTGAGAAAGTCCTTTTCTTTAGTGAATAAAACTCGAAATGTGTTTCTAGGTCAATGTGACCCAAAATTATGTTATGCTGGACTTTGTTTTCTGAAAAAAAAAATTAAAACAAATCATAAAATCTGTTTTTTGTGACCATCTGACAGCCCTAATATTTTAGTCACATTTTCTTTTTTAAAGGCTTAAAGGGATAATTCACCCAAAAATGTAAATTCTTTCATCATTTATTCACCCTACGCAGTTCCAAACCTGTAGGACTTTATTTCTTCTGTGCACACGCAAAAGAAGATATTGAGAAATGTCTCCGTGTTTTTTTTTTGTCCATACAATGAAAGTCAATGGTTTTAGTTACAAACAACAAAATATCTTCTTTTGTGTTGCACAGAAGTAAGTCATACAGATTTGGCGATAAGGTTGTGTAAATAATGACAGAATTGTATTTTTTGGGTGAATTATAATTTTTGCACCACTAACATCACCAAGCAGAACTGCAAAAAGGCTGATTGTTTCCAAACAGGTTTCCTGAACACCACCATCTCTCAACAGACAGACCCACTCCAAACTGTGTCAGGCCTGGCATGCGCACTGCACAGTTAATTTATGCACTATATAGTCATTCTATATTTATCCATAATGCATGAAAAGACATATCATTTGTATTGTGTTAGGAGACAAACCAGAGTTCATCCTCATTACATCAGCAATAACGCACAAGCAGCATCACAGCAGCAAAACCCAATGTCCAGCGGCTCAAATAAATATTGCGTGCTGGTGTTTGATCAGTCAGGAGAGTAGTTTTATAAATAATGCATCTGCTTCTGTAGCCCGCATCACACAAAATGAGTCGCCGGATCCAGAGGGAATTGGCAACACTGCTTGGCCTTTGTTGAAATGCATTGAAAAATTAGACCTTCAGTCAGTCAGAAGGCATGCTCCAGGCGCTGTGTTTTTATAGTAAGAGCACCACCCAAAGGCTCAAAAGGCAAACGGAATGTTGCGGGGGAAGGACAGATATCCTTTTTAGGGACTTGAGAGTGTGACTGAAATGGTTTGTAATGTTTGAGTGTGTGTGAGAGAGAGAGAGAGAGAGTAAGCGACAGTGGTGTATGTGATGTGCTTGCTGAGGAGCGACAGGGAGACGCTGCAGTCTTAGCCTGTGCAGCATACTATATCTGCCGGCCTACTAACTCAGATAGTCTGAGACAGACGATGAATATTTCATTGCGTGTATATGGGGTAATAGAACTGACTGTTTCACACTGGAATGCAGCTGAAATCCCTGAAAAAAATGGTAAGGTTGAAGCCACTGCACAGTAGGTAGTGCACAACACATATGCTCATTACATACACAGTAAAAGCGGTTGTGCACACAGGGATACAGGTTCAAAACCTCCCCATCTCTCCCCCCACTTTCTCATCACTCTCGACTTTATGTTGAAAAGGCCATAAAGATAAAATCAAACACACAACTGGAGAAAAGCTGCCTTGCTGTCAAACGTCCTGCATACTGTAGGAAGCATTCTTGCATGTTAACTAAAATTCAACTTCATGAAAAAAGATGGTATTTTTTATATTTGAACTTCACAAAATACAATTTAATGGCATATTTTATAGATTCCAAATTGAATTTTGTACATTTGAATTCCAGACAAGTAAAATTACAAATTAGTTTTCACTTTAAACAGTTTTTCGTTCTCAATTTTTTGAGGAAAAATAAGTTATGAATATATATATATATCAAACAGCTCCTATGTCATCACAAATTGTTTGGGAGGATTTCAAGACAAAATCTTGGCTAATGGAGGCTGCAAAAAGTATTGAATAAAAAGGGGCCAATAATATTAGCCAACACGTATATGAGAAAAAAATATTTCATAATAAGATTTCTCCACAACCAATTATTTTACTTCAATGAAAGGTTTGAGTTTTGTGAATTTTTTGAATGAAAGATCAGTAAAAAAAAAAACAACGCAGATTTATTTTTGCAGCCTTCTTTGCTCATATGTGACCCTGTTCAATTTTTTTTAATTGAGATGTATAGATCATCAGAAAGCATGAATAAAAGCAAAAAGCATGAATAAATAAGCTTTCCATTGATGTATGGTTTGTTAGGATAGGATAATATTTGACCGAGATATAACTATTTGAAAATTTGGAATCTGAGGGTGCAAAAAAATCAAAATACTGAGAAAATCGCCTTTAAATTTGTCCAAATGAAGTTCTTAGCAATGCATATTACTAATCAAAAACTAAGTTTTAATATATTTATGGTAAGAAATTTACAAAATATCTTCATGGAACATGATCTTTACTTAATATCCTAATGATTTTTGGCATAAAAGAAAAATCGATAATTTTGACCCATACAATGTATTTTTGGCTACTGCTACAAATATACCCCAGCGACTTAAGACTGGTTTTGTGCTCCAGGGTCACATATTTACCAAGGGGGCTAATTATTGTGACCACAACTGTACAAAGGAATGAAATGTTGTGCCTCACAGTACCACAGTGCTACATATTTAACCTGTTAACTGTCAGTTCCACTTTTTGAGTACAGACCTAAAAATTACATTTCCAACTTAAATTGCTATAAATCTTGAATACTTTGAAGCACATACTTAAATTTTGTCTCTTTTTAAAGAAGACAATTGGCAAATTATTGCATAAGTGAAAAAATATGTCAATTAAACTTAAATAAACGTACAAATATTGTAATATTTTATTTAAAATATATATTTTTACAAAACATGATAAAGTCTAAAACTGCAGAGAAAATAAAAAACAAAAATCTGAACAAGTTGTGTTCCAAATTTGAGGTTGATATCTCAAAAAATGAGCTTTTAGTACGTTTTTGTTTGTGCTGCAGTACCAAACATTTCCACTAGATGACCAGTGACAGTTAACAGGTTAAACATATCTAAACAAATAAATGGAACATAAAAAATACATTTAAAAACGTATATATGTATATATATTTGAAACCAAAATATACATTTGAATACCCTTCATTTTGAGAGTGGACTTAAAATGCTGCTTATGCAACAGAGCTAAAGAGAAAGAGTCCAACATCAGAAGGAGAAAGTGAGAAAGTGAGAGAGAGAGAGAGAGAGAGAGAGAGAGAGAAATGACTGCAGTGGAGGAAGGCGAGACACAGAGCAATATAGAGAGAGATGAAGAGAGAAAGTAAAAGCAAGTGAACCAAACAAGAGGTACTGATAGCAATGTTCCAATTAAGTGTCTCATTTACTCTCTTACTCATGGTAATGGAAGAGAAACACACCTGCCATGTATTCAGGTGCTGCTGTAGTGCATTAACGGACCATCATTGCTTGCTGATGATTCCATTAAATAAAAAATGCAGGCCAGATATAAAAGGAGATGGGTCAGTTATTTTCAGGGTCAGCTGTAATATCCAGATACTTGGCAGGCTGTTTAAAGGCTCTTTGTTAGGTGACAGAGACCTACAGTTGCCATATGAGCACTAGGGCTGGGTATCGATTCAGATGTTCCAATTAGATTCGATTTCGATTTTCAAGCTCTCAATTCGATTCGATTTCGGTTTTCTATTCGATTAAGGAGGGGGCTTTGTAGAAAACGAAGCGTTTGAGAGAGGCGGGGCATAGAGGACCTACAATAATGTACAGTATTTGAAAAATAATGTGTTTTTTGAACATTAAAGCATGTCAACATATTCTGTTACACCAAATACACAAAATAATGATCTTTAAAAAAGCATCATATGACCCCTTTAAAACACGTTACTAAATTGCATTTAGTCTTAGATTATTAATTAAGCCAGGTGTACAGCTGCCTTTAAGATGCATGGCTCCAGTGGGACATTTAAAAGTCAACGCAGATTGTGCAACATCGATGGCTTATGTCGAGGTCATGACTGAAAAAAACTGCCCTGTTGTTCTACATCATTAATCATGTCACGTTCTGACATTCTGATGGACAGAAAAGTGCCTGCAGGCTGTTGTGGCTGGACAAAAGTGGGAATTTGTGAACTTTCTTGAAGTGATTTTATGAAATCATAAGGTGAAGGGAATGCTAAATAAAATATTTATGATGAATAATATACAGACAAGCTAGTATCAACATTTTAACTGAACACCTCTCTCTTTCCTTCACTCTCTCTCTCTCTCACACACACGGGGGTAACAGTAGCAGTCACACCGGTTAGGACGATTCAAAGGGCCCTGATATGAGAGGGGGCCGACACAAACACCAGAGAACGTGATTTCTACCGAGGGGGGCCTGAGTCAATATGCTGTTCAGGGCGCCCAGAAACCATAGTGGTGCCCATGCTCAGAATTATTTGTGGTAATGCAGTTAATTGGCCATTAGCGAACCTCCCGCAATAAACTTCTCTAATACAGATTTAGCTTTACACACATACACTACTAAAATGTTTTTTTAAGAAGTCATACCGCTAACCAAGTCTGCATTTATATCCAGAAAAAAACAGCAATACTGTGAAATATTGACCCAAACTTTTCAACGGTAGTGTGCAGTGGATCCAAAAACAATTCTGAAACCTACGACACATTAAAAATGTATGAAGTTGGAAAAGTTACAAATGAAAAAAAAAAAGACATTTCACAAAAGAAGAGTTTTTTTAGGTTTCAAATGATAAAATAAGACATTATAAGACAAAATTAAGACAAAAAGCATCGTTACACTTTCTGGTTGTCAAATGCAAGTGTAACATGTCCATTGTTAATGTGATGAACCACAGCTGTAGCTGAAAAAAGCTGTGTGAACATGATGACCTCGAGACCAGCTGGTGAAAAGCAATTGCAAAAATGTCTAAGAACAGGGAAGTCGGAACGAAACCATGAAATGGTTTTCTGATTAGGAATTACACTGTTGTGATTACATCAAGGCAACAGCATCCTGCTATCACAGCTGAGTAACTGTGCGCATGCTCGTGTTTTTCTCACCTTGCTGAGAGAGCGGTCACTGACACAGCGAGCCAGCTGCTGCGTCTCAGTGATCTGATCAGCCACCCTTTTCTGCTCATTGAGTTTCTCAGCAAGGGTCTCCAATTCAGTCAGAGCCAATTGCAAGGGCAGCCTGTCCACATGGCCATTGGGAGTGTTCTTCAGCATATCCTAAAGGCAGAGAGAGAGGGAATGATTCTAACAGCAAAGAAAGTAAAAAAGTAAAAGGGACTCACTTGAGGAAGCTAATGGAAGAGATTAATGACTGCACCTCTACTGCACAGACAACACATTAGCCATTGTGATGTACTATAGCACTATTAGCATTCATTTAAAGCTGCTGGTACCTTTACTCCCACTCAAAAGCAAGAAAAGAGGGTCAGAATAACAGTACCATCTCACGTTCAGGAGAGAAGCATGTTACCAGCCCTCTGGGAATCATTAACACACTGTGCACTGAAACAACAATCGTTCACAAACTCTCTCTGAGAAACAGCGGAGAGAGAGAAAAGGACATAGACAGTGCAGACAACTCAACATTTCCAGTTCCCTTTCAGTCGGTCACTCTCGACGTCACGTCGGATGACCGACGAATTGGGATCTCGCTTAGAGAGACCAATCTACTTCGAGTGTAAGAGACGGCATTCCCCTTCTGCCGGCCTCCGTGACAGACAAAGAGCTGGTCTGAGGTCCTGAAGCTTTGCGTCCGGTCTACGTAGCACCTTAAGGCTCGGACGGGACAGAGCAAAGCTTCAGGACCTCAGACCAGCTCTTTGTCTGTCACGGAGGCCGGCAGAAGGGGAATGCCGTCTCTAAGCAGAGGATGGGCCCACTGGATAGTGGATGCCATCACCCTGGCTTATCAGGCACAGGGTGTGCCCTGCCCGTTCAGGTTGCGAGCTCATTCAATTAGAGTGTGGCATCCTCCTGGCCGCTCGCTCGTGGCGCCTCGCTGGCAGATATCTGTACAGCTGCGGGCTGGGCGACCCCTACACGTCCGCTAGACTCTATAGCCTTCGTGTGGAGCCGGTATCTTCCTGTGTTCTCACCTCAAACGGGTAGAAGCACTGAGAGGCCCCGACTTCGGGTCGGCTTGCTAACAATAATCGCATGCCAATGTGCATTGGCTCGTTTAGTTTACACTCGAAGTAGATTGGTCTCTCTAAGCGAGATCCCAATTCGTCGGTCATCCGACGGGACGTCTCGGTTCCCTCCTTCAGGGAACGAGGGTTACCATACGTAACCGAGACGTTATGCACTTTGCTCATTTATTCAAAAAATAGTTAGCCTAAACTGTCATATTAGCTGTCATACCAGTATTAATTAAATTTACAACTTTGTGGAGTCAAGAGACAATTTAACTAGAAGTACAAGAGTACTTTATTTATAACACCCTTGCATTAATAACACCTAAGCTGTATGCATTAATGGTGGCTTGATCAATTTAAAAGTTCTATAAATGGCAATAATTATATTTTATTTCTACATGTTAATGTTAGTTAATAAAAACTAATTTTCAAATACTATAATACAAGTAGTTTTCTTGGTAATCTAAACATACTGAAAAATTTGCTCATAATAATGACTAATGTTTTCTTTATATTCAACGGCAATTTGTTGTTGCTGTTGTTTTGTTTGAAGCATAAATCAAGCACTTGAATTCAGCTCTACTTGGTATTCAGTATAAAAATGTGCCAAGTTTGATGTCGCCATTGCCAAATGTCATTTGTCCATGTGGATGTCAAATTACCAATTGTGACTGCAATAAGAATGAAACGTGGAAAAACAGAGAGTAATCGATAACTTAAATTACTTAAAAAGCCACTGTTTTATTACACTTTTATTGCACGTATTTTTAACCATTATATGGAAAAGAACAGCTTAGACATTCTGCCTAACACATCTTTCTATTTCTATTTCTTTCTATTTCTGTTTCTAATAAGATGCGTCTGTTTGTGGTTGATTCAGGCCACTAAAAAGGAGGAAGTGCATAAAGGTCGCAGTCTGTCATCAGATCTTGTTCTGTTTAATGTGTGATTAAACACAGGCTATTCTCAAGTCAGAGCACTGAAAAAAAAACCTTATTCCCATTCATAACTTATCTATCAAAATTCATGGGTAATCGATGCCTACTGAGGTATGAAATTAAGTGCCACAGCACTTCTCCTGCATGGGGAATTGCAGTGGTGAATTCCTCGCTTGTTCCTTGTCCATAAAAATGAACAGAAGTGAAGGAATGACATGAGAGAGATTAAGGCAGTAGTACAAACTGTTTGACGATGTAAATTTGGTGAATTCATGACATTTCACTGTCACCTGAGACCCACTGGCTGAAGAGGTCAATGTGATATTTCTGAAGTAGATCTTGATAATGCTCTGACATTTTGGCACGTGACTTGTTTGTGTGACAGAATGGACATTTGAAGTGTTTATTTATTTAAAATTACAATGTAATTTACTCACTCTCATGTCGTTCCAAGCCCATTTTACTTTTTGGGCACAAAAGGAGAAATGTAGAACAATGTGCTAAACATTCATTTTTACACACTGAAAGTGAATAGGGACTCAGACTGTCCATGTTTCAAAATTGTAATTTTGGTCCAAATGCACTATATGGAAATTAGTTACAAGCACATTCTTCAACATTTTTTCCTGTGGATTTCACAGAAGAAAGTTAGTTTTGGGGTGAACTGCCTTATTTATGCAATGTGCGTGCTTGCTGGTTTATTCAAGTTCTCTCGATAGGAGTCTTGACATACACCCAATTCTGTATCACGGCCATAAGCCAAGGGAAGAGCAAACCTGTGAGCCAATAGGCTGCAAGAAGACCTGGCATGGTCTTAGCCAGTCATTCAGCTTCTAATAGACTTGCTTGGCAACTAATTTCCAGTTACTTAAAGGAGCACAACCCCTCAAGCACTCTAAACGACAGCACTGTGTGAACAGTTTATGGATAAATACTGACCTGCAGGAGGAGGATGAACTGAGGAAAACGCTGAATAGGCTTTACCATCAGACCATAGAGAGTTATGCGGTCAATGCTGGACACCTGCTTCTTCTGCAAGCGTAAAGAGATGCAACCACATATTGAGAGAAAGGCAAAGGAAGAGAAAAAGGCAGACATAGTAATTTCCACATACAGAGCAGAAGAATCTTGACACTCAGGGGAGTCAGAGAGGTGGGTGGAGGTTAGCATTACACTATTGATTCGTTCATGCCTGCCAGCAGACTCTGGCAATCATTAGGCTGCGCACTGTCAGGGAGTAGGTGTACTTGAGAGCCCTCCAGCAGATTTCAAAGCAAGGATATTAGACTATGGTCAACTAAGCATTTGTGGAGTTCAGTCGCTTTTACAGATGTTAAAGATTCAAGTCACCGTGGAAATGTGTTGCCATGATAACACTACACACATTTTTGCGGTTTATGCAGCTTTAAAGAACAGATAACCTCAGTTTCACATTTACAAGGTCAAATATTTTGAAGAAAAAAGCAACACTTATAATCCATTCAGAATGTAAGTGGCTTGCCTGAAATGCTGCAAGCGAAAGATGTTCTCTCTCACTCTCTGACTAACATCAAAACTATTCAAATTAATGTCTAATGAATTCTTGTGTTTTTAGTCTTTCTGACTAATTTTTCAGTTAAAATATCAAATCATTCTTGAAAGAAGGTAAAATTGCTTTAGAAGAAGCACTGCTTTAGATACTGGGACTTTTTGGAGAATATATCTTTACTTTTTTAACTTATTTGATACACTTTTTGAAATTAAATGCACTTATATTAAATATATTATTTTCTACAATTAAAAAGGAGATATCTTTAAAGTCATTGCAAAATATCTTCTGTTATGTTCCACAAAAGAGAAAAGTTAAGTTTTGAACAACATGAGGATGATTAAATGATAACAGAATTTTTGTTTTTGAATGAACTAACTGGAAAAGTAAAAAAGCATACTCCATAATAGGATTTTTTTTGCAGTGCAACAGGAAAAACAGACAAGAAAGAAGTCAATAATCCATATAGCAGCACAGCACAGCAGTAGACAGAGGTGATTTAGGGTGAAACTTGCGTTTCTTGAAGAGGATATTGGCAGCAAATATCAGCTCTTACCTTGAGAAACTCCAGAAATGCTGGTTTAGACATGCAGGCTTTCTTAATGAGGGCCATGGCATTGGTGAAATTATTGATGTAATCACTATATACGTCCAGCACCATTGATTTCGAGAACTAAGAGGGATGCAGAGAGAAGATATTTATACAAACACATGTTCAGAGAAATCACATTTAATTTGGTTTTCTGTTCATTTTCTTCTTTGTTTATAGCAGCTCTCAACATGAACAGTTTCTCCTGCTCTGAGACTGCTCTTGAATTTTGCTGTCGTGGTGGGCAGGCCACTCTAAAGGTGATTACAGGGCAAAGGAATGGAAGTAAACAGTAATTTCAGTGTGGTATTTATGCAACGCAGCACCACTTTTTGCCATCCCAGGGACAGTCCATTACTGCCGGGTGTTTTAGAGCAGGCAAAATGGCAGCCATCCATTCGCTCTGCTTTGATTGAAGCTGAACAGACCTGCTGACAGCAGCAGTGCTCGCAGGACGTGGAGAGGACATTAACGAGCCACAAATAGACGTTAACCCCTGTCAAACTCTACCTCCCCTTTGGGGACGCCAAGTATGGCAGGAAATGATACACGCGGGTAAAGATGTTATTATCAACAAACACACATACAGGGCAAATTTACGAAACAGTTGCAGCACCTTGCAGCGAGCAGTATTTCAGTGCAAAATCTATTAGGATTGTGTTATGAACAGCTGTTAAACAATTCGCAATTCTTTTTAGGTTTTTAGCAAATTAGTGTCTAATTTGTATGAATTCATACAATCTCATTCTCATTTTATTTGTATAGCGCTTTTCACAATACACATGGTTTTAAAGCAGCTTTACAGAAAATCATGTTAATGTTGTAATATTTTACGTCACAATTAGCAGATGTGAGATTGGTGATAATATACAGTAGTTTACATTTTGCAATGACAAAAAAACAAGCAGCTGAGATTTGCTATACTGTATATATCTCTGCATGTATATACTTATATATCCAACTATTTTATTCATAAGAGAGGTTTGTGTACATTTTCTATTAATCATGGCAAAGTGATTCATCAAATGATGATCCAATAGTGGATAAGACCATCATAACCATATGCACAGTGTAGATGAGCACAATTTCAGCATTTTAAACAGCCAATTTGGGTATTTTAGAGCCATTACCAGATTTTCATAATCAATCAGGTGCTAAAACAACACAGACAATGCATGCAAATAATTTATGCTGTCTTCGTCTGCAGTTCAACTAGGGCTGCACGATATTGGAAAAAACTCACATTGCGACATTTTATTTTTCTGCGATATATATTGCGATATGAAAAAAAAAATCACCACATGACTTGAATAGTTTATTTGGAAATAAATAATGATTGGGGTGATTTTGTAGGCAAGTAAATCAGCATAGGAAATAAACAAATTACAAGCATAGATCAATATAACAGAACAAAGATACAAATGAAATAAGCAGTGCTTTATATTTTTCAGGTTAGTCTAACAGTATTCAGGTACAGAAATGTAATAATCAAATGTAAAATAAAACTGCATAGTCTTCACTGTATAAATTAAATCTAATAAATCTGTGTTAAAGCTACAAAAGTGATTTTTCTTTGCGTTTTGTTGTTTGATTAACATTTATAACACAGAAAGCCTCAGGATCATTAAACTGCTGTAAACCAATATAGGCTACTGTTACATATCCATTTTCTTTCTCAATTGTTTCTCTTCACCCAAGCCATAAGCAACTGCGTTTACAAGGATACTTGCAGAACACAGTATTTCAGGCACAAATAGACACAGAAGTGAACAGAATTCAGTGTTCACGTACATATGCGTGGCTCTCACCGTGTCTACACCGGATGTGAGCGGCGCGGTGCGACGCGACAAAATACAATGAACTCATTATAATCAGTGATGCTGTCTGTCTACACTAGATGCGGCGCGGCACAACAAATCTCCGACAGTAAGCTAATGCCGCGTTCTCTTTATGACGTACTGACACAAAGTTCAAATGATATGCAACGGTCACGTCCAGTGTAGACAGACTTTGGAACCGTTCACATTTCACGCCTAAAAACGTGTGGGAAAACGCCAGTCGCTCCGCTTTTTCCTTCTTTCCAAAGCGCTCGGGAGTTTGCTAAGCAACCGTGACCTGCGCTCTCCACGACAACGTGGAAGTTTCAACAAAGGATAAATGGATTTCCAGCACTGAATATCGCGTGCAGTAGCTCCGCTACTAAATGTATTTAAAATGGGTATCTCTGTACAGCTGTCGCGTCTGTCTGTGTGTGAGCCAAGAAAACAATCAGTATAAATTTAACGATCAGTAGCCTATACTAAACATCGCACATCCTGCGGATGCGCACATCGCGATATCGATGCTGAAACGATATATCGTGTAGCCCCAAGTTCAACCATATTAAATTTGCCCCAAAGTGTGTACATATGCACTCAATAACAGAAGAACTGTGCAAACGGATGCAATATGATGTGTTATGTGGTTTGTGGGTATTTTCTGCTCTCCAATGCACAGCAGTGCAACTTCAGCTTTAAGTGTTCTCTCTATGGTACTTCTTTGTGCTCCAGGGACTTTGTAAAAACCAGTAGTGCTATGCAATAAAAGCAGGTCAGACAGGCCAAACTCTATCTTTTAACGGAAGAATAATGAGAGCAGCTTATGGATGCTGCCTGTGAGGAGGGTCACTACAGAAACCTCATTCATTAGTCCATTAGACGCCCTGCAACCCAGTGGTGCCAACACACTTTGGTAAAAGACAGCCATCCTCACTCATAGTAATTGACTATGCTTTTGAAGTAAACTGGAGCAGAACACTATTAGTACCTGAAACAGCTTGCCAACAGAGAAGCATAATAACACACAATGCTCAGTGTTCTGTAGTTTAGTTTAGAGGTCAGTCATTTTCAAGTATTTTCCTACTCACTGAAGCTACAAACAGGTCCCCAATCTTTTCACAAGAGTCCCATTCGGCCACCCGAGATGCCAGGGCAATCTGGAACATGGAGTGGCACTGCATGATCTCCCGCAGACGGAAAAAAATGGGCCGGATTTTCCTGACACTGAGGATCCGAGGCTCGGCCTCCATCAGAGGTCGCTGGTATTCCTAGAGGACCATAGGAAATGTAGATATTTCTTATGTATGCAATTACTGATTTTTTTTATATTTATACATGAGGAATAATTCATTTACAGCTCCAACTTGCCTCACCTTGACAAGGAAGTGAGATTAAAAATGTGCTGAATTAAGCTTAACAGCAAGGTGGGGGAAAAAAATAAAAAAATATCACACTATGCATTATCCATTTCATTCATCTGAATACAAGATTCCAAATGTGCAATATGCAATATGTATTTGGCACTTGTAAATATTGTCACATTCCTTACTTGCATAATAAAAAATATATATATATGTGCAATATGCATATATGAATACATTTTTGGAACAACGCATGTAATGGAACACATGGAGATGAACACATATACATATCTTTTTTTTTCAGGGTTTCACTATTCAGTTAGTCTTTGTTATATTGTATGTATCTTGTCTCAAGCTATTGTATAAGACGTCAGATTTATTTAGTCAAAAGCTTGTAATCATTAAGATTTTTTAAATGTTTTTAAAAGAAGTCTCTTATGCTCACCAAGACATCATTTATTTGATCAAAAATACAGTCAAAACAGTAATATTGTGAAATATTATTACAATTTAAAAAATGTGTAACAGATTTTAAAATGTAATTTATTCCTGTGATGGCAAAGCTGAATTTTCAGCATCATTACTCCAGCCTTCAGTGTCATGTGATCTCTCAGAAATCATTGTAATATGCTGATTTGGTACTTAAGAAACATTTCATATTATTATCAATTTTGAAAACAGTTGTGCTGCTTATAATTGTTTTGGAAACCGTGATAATTTTTGCAGGATTCTTTGATGAAAAAAGTTCAAAAGAACAGCATTTATTAGAAATAGAAATATTTTGAAATAGAAATAAATGTCTTTACTGTCACTTTTGATCAATTAAATGCATTAGCGCTGAATAAAAGTAATTTCATTTATTTTTTTTAAATCTGACTCCACATTTTTGAATGTTAGTGTATAATGGTTTTAACGAAAATATTAAGAAAAAAAAACAATTTTAAACATTGACAATAAGAATTGTTAATAATATACTAAGAAGAATTTGAGCATATTAGAATGATTTCTGAAGGATCATGTGACACTAAAGACTGGACTAATGGCTGCTATCTGACTCCACATTTTTGAATGTTAGTGTATAATGGTTTTAACGAAAATATTAAGAAAAAAAAACAATTTTAAACATTGACAATAAGAATTGTTAATAATATACTAAGAAGAATTTGAGCATATTAGAATGATTTCTGAAGGATCACACTAGGATCACACTAGGATGACACTAAAGACTGGACTAATGGCTGCCGAAAATTCAGCTTTTCCATCACAGGAATACATTTTAACAATGTATTAAAAAAAGAACAGTTCTTTTAAAATTGAATATTTCACAATATTTCAAAGACGACTCCTGAAATGTCTCTTAATTCTCCGAAACCTACAACAACACCTAAAAATGCTAAACTGAAATGGAAAGTTAAACCCATATGACTTTCTTTCACTGAACACAATATTTGGGCTACTCATTTGATACAATAAATATGAAAGCGGTTGTTAAGATCCAAAATGACTTAAAAAATAAATAAAGTATCATGCAGGTGAGTGAAGCATAACAACATTTGGGTGAACAATTTCTTTAAACTGTTCATTTGCTAATGTTAATTCTCTGATATTGGCTTTGACTGTTTTCCAACATTGTCGAATTCAAACTGTGCTTAGTTAAATGTTTGTTTAGGCTTGATTTCCTTAAATTGCAAAACAAGCTAGTGATGTTCATAGATAAACTACAAGACCTAATCTTTAAAAGCAAAGACACTTTGCTAGTTAGACTGTGGACACAATAGATTTTTCATGGCTGCTTTCTTTCCTACCCTGAAGTCTCCAGCACTAATGAATTATCGACAAAGAGAAAACAAGACAAAGGATGAGGCAATGGGACTATATCTTTTTCTAAAGATGCATCTGCCCACAACGGCACTACTAAACTTAATTATGCAGCCCCCCACTCGCCTGCTTTGGGGCCACTTCACCTGATCTAAACACCCTAGACCATGTCTAGCATGCTATAAAGAGAGCAGGAATTGTAAAGTACACCCGGCAGAGCTTTGATTTGACAACAAAGCTTGGAGACAGATCCTGAATGACTAGATTTCATAGAGCGTAAAGCTGTCATTGATCTGCGATTCAATTTTAGACGGTGCCTGTGCCTTCAAAGGAGTGTGATAACAAATGCTTTTCTCTCCAACACTAGCTGAGATCAGAATTATGTGTAATGAAACTCCACACTATGAAACCCACCAGATCTGCATGCTTCCATTTAAAGGAATGTGAATGTGAAGGCAAATTCATTATTAAAGGCAGAGTAAGTGATTTCTGGTAGCCAATGTTGATATTTGAAATCACCAAAACAAATATGCCCCTACCCCAAAAGGGTCTTGCCCCTATTTTGATAGCTCCGGCCCACATATACGTACGCAACCCAGTTGCTATTCGGCCGAATCAATTTTCTAAAGTGTTTTTGAAAAATCACATACCCTGCCTTTAAAGAAAAGTGATAGTGTAATCTTTTGTTTTGAGGCATTGAATAGCTGGGCTTTCACATTAGGAAGCGTCTTGACATTATTTAGAATCCTTCCAATGACTTTTGTTGTTCAGTCAGAGACAAAAATAGGGACATTTTGACTAACGTTTACATATAACAAGCATTTCTAAGAAACATTAAAGGTGGCAATAATATTTGACTTTAGAATTTTAACTACGTTTTTTAAATTTATCTGAGTATGAAGTATCGAATCATTGAGTTTCAGTTTGATGTTAGCACACACTGAAGAAAAAAAGACGTTTAAGGGGCCGTTCACATGTTCACGCCGCTTTCTGCTTTTTTCCAAAGCGTTTGGGCGCTTGCGCTCCAGAGGCGTCTGCCGTTGCTAAGCAACCATGGCCTGTGCTCTCCATGAAGACGCGGAAGTTTCAGAAAAGGATAAATGGATTTGCAGCACAAAAAAAAATCGCTTGCAAAAATGGCTATCCCTGTACAGCTATGATCAGCTGTTCCTTCATCTTGGCTGAGCTTTCAATGTTGTTACGGGAAAGGATGAAGCTGATTGGTTTGTTCTTGTCACATGACCCGCGGTGCGCTTGCGGCATTCTGAAAAGTTTAAATGTTTTTATCTCGATGCGGCGCGAAGCGCCTGGAAAAAATTAGCGCGTCGGACCGCGTCGCTTTCAATATGAGCGCGCCTGCCTACATTTGAAATAATGAACTTGAGCGCGCAAAAGACGCGATATGTGAACGCATTTTGTCTTTGCAAATTGACCCTACTGAATCCTATCAAAAGCATTTTTTTTTCAACAATTTCACCAACACAGCTGTTTTTGGGACAGATGCAGTAGTATTTTACCTGTAGGATCCGTTTAAGAGAGTCCAGGTAACTCCTTTCACTCTGCACAATGGAGCCCAAAATATGGCGTCGGACAATCTGCGGTCAAGACGGTCAAGACATTTCTTACATTATAAAACATGTTGTTTTTTTCACTTTTGATCAGTTTAATGTGCAACTGCTGAATCTAATTATTTCTGCGAACAGTAGTCAATATCTATTGTAAATAATCTATCCAAAAAAATATCTATTGTAAATTAAGTAATTATATAATTTATTATGTAAGTATTTATATTACAGCTTTCATTTATCATTAAATCTAAATTATATGATTTATATTAACAGATGTATCGATGCATTCGATCTATAGATAAAACAGATGATCAACGTATTTTAATGTGCATTATACAACATTTATATTTAGTGGCACAATAACTTACCGTACTTAAACTATGTAATCTGTATAACATAAAGCTGTGCTGATTTCTCGCTTAATTTTTGAGCAAGCAAATTTGTTTTTAAACTGTGTTCTTGCCTTTCCACAGTTCATTTTGTTAAGTCTACAATATTGATTTAAATTTGGACAAGATGAAAAACTTTCACAATAAGCATGATAACTGAGAAAACTGAGAAATTAAACAGTGACATAGGGCCAGATTTACTAAACAGGGAAAATTTGCATTAGAGCGCAATTCCATAAAAGTGGGGAAAATTCTGCGGCTGATTTACTAACAATGCGCACATTAAAGAACACAGACGCAGCCAGCGCAATCTACCAAGAGCAGTGCACATTACCGACTGCTTTAAGACATGCTTTTTTGGGGTGTTAAATAATGGCGTAAATACCAGTAATTTGACGAGCACAAATGTTAGTAAATCTGGTTGCGTGATTCATTTGAATACTCTCCTCACATAAATTTTGTGGCTGAAAGGGAAACTCCTACAAATGCAAATTCAATAAGGTCAGGCCCAAAAATAACTGCGTCCACGCCTTTTCAGCGCCAATTCTTCACTGCGTGTCTTTAGTAAATCCTGACAGTACATTTTTAACGCCAAAAGACGGTTTGCTCTGGTGCAAGCTGTTAGTAAATCTGGCCCATAGTATGAATTTGAAAAGAAAAGATCTTCACTTTGGTTGGGATGCAAATTTTACTACCAAATTGATGGGTTCCCTCAAATGTGTATATTTTGGCATGGACTATGTACACACTCAATTTAAAACATCAATAAATACATATACACACACCTGCAGGCTGCTAAGCCCATCTGGCATTGGTCCCAGTTGTGCAGGTGGGTGTTTTGCCTCTGATACCATCACATCCAGATACCCTGTATCATCCTCAGTGTCATCTGTCAGGATACACAAAAACACGTTCAAACATACCATATATCCCTGCAAAGCTAAGAATATACTACTATCTTATTACAACTCGGAAGAGATGCTCAAACAGAAAAGTATATTCAAAGTACATTGCAAATTTTGCCTCTGATACCATCACATCCAGATACCCTGTATCATCCTCAGTGTCATCTGTCAGGATACACAAAAACACGTTCAAACATACCATATATCCCTGCAAAGCTAAGAATATACTACTATCTTATTACAACTCGGAAGAGATGCTCAAACAGAAAAAAGTACATTCAAAGTACATTGCAAACTCAGTACCGAACAAGCTGTTCTAAACCACATCCAAACAATCTTTCAATCCACACGGCTACAAAGGAAAACCATCCGACATACAATTTTGCACCTTTTCCCAAAGGTTTAAAATCTTCACACAAGTTTTTGCAGCATCTCAAGATAATAAAAGAACCTCCAAATCAAAATGTTTAGCACTATACGCAGTGTGGTACCTCATTTAGAGTGCAATTTCAATAGGCATCGCGCCAGTCTCCACTTCCAAAAGGTAACCTTACCCCATTGTACAGTAGGGCATTATGGGACCAATCCCAGCCAATTTTCCTGTGCACCAAATGCCCTCATCAGCTCTTCTCCCTACCTTTTATTTTAAAGACCCAGTCTGATTTATACTGCCTTTCAGCTTCCCAAATATTTCACATCATCTTTTTTTCAGCCTCCAACCTCCAAGAGTCAATTTTCTTTTTAAAAGCAAAATACAAGAAAGCACTGAGAGGTATTGGGACTCCATCAGCCTTTTTCTGCCGTGTCTGACTCATGACAGCCAGATCATCTGCCATCTGTAAAGAGGTCTAGCTTAATTTAATGAACAGCCCTGTTCATCTGAGGGGAAAAAAGCATTAAAAATGTATAATTGCTTCTTTCCTGAATGGGATTTTTTCTATCAATCAAAGGAAAAGGAGTAAGGATGGGTGCTCGAAAGAAGATAAATTCTCAAATTAAATTCTAAATTCTTAGATTACCTGAGTGGTCCTTTTTATGTAGGAATGAAACTCTCCTCATCACAGCGATTTTGGTCTTCTCTAGGCCATCTTTCGTTCCGCTACGTGCCGCCCGCATCAGCTGATGGACCTGCAAAAGGGACCAGAGGCGAACAGAAAATCATAGGCAGCCGAGCTGGAGTACCTCCAAAACCAGTGACGTGGTGGACCCTTATGGAAAAAGGTCGACCATCTCAAGCCCTCGAGCGTAAACAGCCGTGCTCGGGTTCGCCTGCCATTTGTGAGACACCAGTTCAGTGCTGTTCCGATGGCCACAAGCCACAAGATCCTAAGCGAGTGAGAGAACATCAAGCTACAGTGATATTTTTATATTTAAAAAAAGGAGGGGGCGTCCCATCTCTGCGAAAGCAGGTCATTAATAGAGAGCATGTGGAAATGTCTTGCTTGAACCACATGAGAGCTGTTTACTTTATATATACACAAGTGTGCCCATAACCCACCGTCATACATAGCAAATTAGAGATCAGGAGAGCTGAAGCAAAATGGGAGTGTTTTATAGTGGAAGCGATCTGAACGGTTTGTTTACAACAGTGTAAGAAAAAGTGAGAGAGTACGGTGGACCAGTAGTGCACAACACAACAAAATCTCCACAACCCAATGCATAGGACCAATTTCATTGTGTTGTGCTAATTTCACAGTGTTGTGGCTTGTTTCCGTTGTGTTGTGACATGTTTCCATTGTGTTGTGCGAATTTCTTTTTGTTGCGACTTGTTCCCGTTGTGTTGTGCTAATTTTGTTGTGTTGCGACATGTTTCTGTTGTGTTGTGCGAATTTCGTTGTGTTGTGGTTTTTGAGCAGTAGTGTAAATTTATATTATTTCATATTTAAATACGTTATATTTAAAAAAAAAAGTATTATATTTAAAAATAATGTAACATTTTTTATTGTATATAGCATTGTATAAATGAATAGCATATATATAAGCAGACAACATCAAATATCTGCACAACTTCTTTGTTGTCTGTGTTTGATGACATGAAATTTATTTGACCAAACAAGATCAAGTGCGGTGAACTTCTACAGGTATCTCTTCTGCTCTGTTTGTTGGGAGCATACAACACAATGTATGGACCCTGAGACTCAGAACACAGATAAAAAAGGGACAGAAAAGCAAGACAGAGAGAGAGAAAACTCAAATGAAAAAGACTTACCCTGCTGAAAAAGACTTACATATGCTGTGCTCTGGATGCTGGCCCCAAGCATGGGATGCTGGGATGTCAGTGCGCCACCAGGCTTTTTACTACATTTAAGTTTGTCTGGTTGACGGCAAGTCTATGTTGGTCAGCAACAACTGACCAGCATAAAACAGCATGGAAATTCATGCTGGTCCTTTCAGCAGGGAAAAGCGCAAAAGAGAAGGAGTGTAACAAGTTGATCCCAGGTTTGTGTGATTGCTCCAATTTACAGCTCTGAGCTATTTCACCCTACTAAAGCCCATTCTTCCCATACGTGCATGAGTGTACCTGATGTCTGCCCCCCAGTCTCATGGCTAGCTCCTGTTTGGTCCTGGTGTAACGTTCTCTCAGTCGTCGAACATCAGGGGAGAGCTACGGGTATCATCACGGCAACAATGCAGGCCATGGGTGAGAGCGCAATAACATGGCAACATGGAGGAGAGGAAGGAATGAAGGGGTAAGCATAAAAGTGAGGGAAATGAAGTGATGAGGGTAAGGCAAAATCAGGATCAACCACAAAAGCATATGCAAGAGAAATGACTGGAATCAGGGGCATGGCTTAATTTTTAAGTCAAAGCAGTGTCGGATAGACAGAGGAAGATTAGATTATGACAAAACGTGCACCCTCGCTAATGTGAATCTCAGACAAGCACCTACTCATTTCCAAAACAAAGCCACAGGCTGCATCCAAAACGGAGGTAGGAAGGCATCACATCCAAATCCAATGTTTGTGAAACATGCTGTCGAATAATATGCTTCCATCTGATCAGTTTTCAAAGAATGAACCTAGGCTGCCTTCAGTGCCTCTGATATCCCTGAATCTTGTGTGTGCAGTTCCGCAATTAGATGATGGAACATTTGGGGGAAAAAAAACTGGAAAACGATTTAAAACAAAAACATACAACTACAAATAATTGTACAAATACAAGATTTAGCTTGTTTAAGATGTTTGTTTTGTCGTCATATCTATCATATCTATTGCTATATCCAGCAGAGATGTCTTTCCAAAAAAGGACACTTGGAGACTCCAAAAGGACACCAAAGAACCAAATTATAAGTAGTCCAACTGATAAATTTATGCACAGATTAAAAATGCGTATACCAGTAAGTGTACAGTTGACAAGTCAAGTTGCGATACCGAACAGGACCACATGGAGACACCAAAAAAAACCTAAACCAACCGCTTTGAGCTGATTGCTTATACATACTACAGTACACAGATCCATTCATAATGACTAAACACAGCAACATACACATGACGAATCAAAACATCCTGAATGTGTGTAGAAACAATGTGAATGTACTGAAATGACAGAGCTTGTGTTTTAAAGTGAAACACATTTGAATGAATAATTTACTAAAAACGTAACTTGATTCTCTCTTCTCTCCGCCTTCTCTGATGTAATCAGCCTGGTTTTCTTTACATCAGTGCTGTTTTGGACTGATTGTTTAAATGCACTCGCTTACTGAATCATTGGACTGGACAGAGAAGGGAAATCTGGTTAAAGGGTTAGAAAAGAAATTGTGTTTCAGCAATTTTGCATTATGTTAAATTACTTTAACACGTTAAGGATTTTTGAACTAATCGTGTGCATTAACACGTTAATGTTGACAGCCCCAGTTTAAATGCAACAGTTTTCTATTTTAATGTATTTTAAAACGCATTTATTCGTGTGGTGGCAAAACCAAATTTTAGCAGCCATTATGTCAGTCTTCAGCGTTGCATAAATCTTTAGTAATCATTATAATATTTTGATTTTGGTGTTTAAGAAATATTTCTTATTATCAATGTTGAAAACAGTTGAGAGGGTTTTTTTATGGATTCTTTGATAAACAGAACTTTCAAAACAACAGCATTTATTTGAAATATAAACCTTTTGTAAAAGGATTTACTATTACTTTGGTGAATTAAATGCATCCTTGCTAAATAAAAGCATTAATTTCTGTCTTAAAAATCTTATTGTCCCCAAAATTTTGAATTGCAGTGTATATTCATAAATATTTTATATCTATTTGTAAAGAAAAACAGACACTGCCATCAAGTATTTCAGTCACTATTATTTTTTTTCATAATAAAACTGTCTGTTTCTGATGCAGCTGCAAAGACCAAAGCCCAATTATCCAGTACTGTAGTGAAGTCAATTGTTGCTTGTTTGTCCTTGTGAGTTCATTTTAATCTCAACAAGCCCACTATAGGAACTCTTGACACCTTTCGAAAAGAAAACCATTCCTTTCCAATTATACATGCACTAAAAAGCTGGAGGAATAACTGTTAAACTGAGCTCAAATCACTGTGGTATTAGACTCAGCAATCTTATTCTTGCTTATTGTGAGTCGTCTGGCAGTAGGGATCTTATGGAGCCTAATTCAGCGGAGGTAAAGGTGAGTCTGGCCATGGGAAATTGGTTTCTGAGGGACTGCCGCCTGTGCAGTGTTTTCCATACCAGTGTGACCTCATGAACGTGTAAGGGCAGATAACACAGTGCACACTGAATTCAAATTCGCAGCAATATAGAGCAGTGGAAAAGTGTGTCAGTTACACCCAGCGTTAGTAGCGATTAGGCAAGTGCTGGCCAACACTGCACTCTTGTGGTGGCAAAGCACACAGCAACCCTCCACAGACCATTAAAGTATCACAAGAACCCGCATCTCAAATAAATCATCAAACCACGTACCAATCAATCAGCCTGCAACCTTGGAGGGTTTAAATCTTTTTACGGCCCTTTGTGGTTTATCATTATGAGGAATGTGAAAATGTGTGAAAATAAATCAGATGTTTGTCGGGATGTAATTATTGCAGTTGTGGGGAGTCTTGAATTAACACACAAATGCACACACGCACCTTGCTGCGGGTTGGCGCCCTGTCAGAGTCGGACTGCTCATCATAGCTTTCAAACTCACTTGAGCTCCAGCCATTATTGGGCCCTTGCAAGCCCTCCCCTTTCTGTATGTCTTCATAGATCAAGTCAGCTGACACACAAAGCAAAGCAGGGTTCAGTACAGTCCTGTAAATACCGAAGGACTACCAACAATGATGTGGCGATACAAAAATATCTATATAACACAAAGATGGGTGTTTCTTCAACCACAGGCACTTTAACCCTTGTAGAATTAAAAAATCTATATATAATTTGATAGTGTAAAATTATATATATATATATA